CATTTAGGGCGAGATCTTTACAAAACTTTAAAAATATATTACTACTGTTATCGATAAATTCTCTGTATGTTGAATTCAATACTTAAATATTATTGAACAGAAACATTATTAGGTACCTATTTATTATTATTGAACATATTATACAAAGGATACATTTTTTATGAAAAACGAATTCCATGGAGATTGAAGTCAGCCAATCTTAGATCATGTAGTATGTATGTAGCTTTTAAGCTAATTCTCAATACTTTAATGAACACAATATGATTAGTGAATGAACCTAGAACCCCGACTGTTTGTGAACATGCACGTAATCCACATTGGTTTTTCTGATTGGGTTATCAGCCATTCTCTCATACATAACCAAGGCCCGATCTTTTAAGTAATTTTAGCACCAAATCAAATACACAGGTCATATTTTTTTTATTGTCTATATTGATATAAGTAATTTTTATTCTATTATTTACCTATTAATAATACAGTACCTAGGTTAATTATTAAAATCAAGTAACATTTGTTAAATAGTTATTTATAATTATAATACTATAAAGATTATAAAACTTGTCAATGTACCATAATATGTTAAAAATCAGATATTTTTTTCTAAAACTTAAAAAACTTAATTGTGTACCTATAAGTACTAAATAATAATAAACGGAATTCGGAAAGTTATAATTAAATTTATAATTATAATTTAAATAATTAAATCCCTCAGAGCTATTAATTATTTTTTATAACTTTTATGAATTATATTATATTTTATACCTAAATAAGTACCTATTATAAATTATTTTTGAATTAGGTGTTATTTATTAATAATTTATAACGTTAATAAATAAAAAAATAATTTTAAAAAAATGGCCGTGATAATTGATAGTAGTACCATCGGGAAATCGAGTTTTCCGGAGAATGGGGGAAGTTACAAATTTCGAAACCGGTGTTGCAAATTGTTGCAAATCAGTTGCAAAATATTGGCACTGGTTTGAAGTCGATATCTCAAAGTGGGGGTGCCAACTTCACGGACGTTATTGTTGTAAGTTTATATAAAATCGTATTATTTTAACTTGAAACAATATGTGTATAATAAGCTCAGCTATTTTATAAATAAAAACTAAGCTAAAGTTATGTTAGGATATAGAAACTTGTAAGTTGGTACTATCGAAAAAATAATCGATTTTAATTTTGGTGTATCAAACCAGAAAATTAACAATAATCGATTTTATTAAACAAATGGCCAAGTAATACCATACTAATAAAAAAAATTAGTTAGGATTTTTAATACAATATTATGATAATTTATATAAGAATATAATACATTTTATCAAACAAACGGGCAGGAGATACCATGCTAATGAAAAAAATTTAGTTGAGATAATAAATATAATATAATAAATTAAACGACAATATAATACATTTTTAACCGTACCAGTTAGAGTTAACTGAGAGTCCTAAGTATCTAAAAATAGGAAGTTAAACGTTTAAGTCTATATAAATTTTAATAAATATATATTTATAGCTCGTCCAAACGATTTTTTAGATAAATTAGGGGTCCGTGTAATTTTCTCCCAAATGAAGGTCCCCCTTAAGAAAATTTTATGAAGTCTATAACGATTGAACAGGAAAAGCAAATTATTAAAAAATGCATGGTAGATTTACAAGCATTATTTATGCTTTCGCGGCTAATGCTTGCAGATGTAACATGCATTTTTTAAAAATTGTCTTTTCCTGTTCATCTGCTACTGACTTCAGAACATTTTCAACGATCCAGTTGACCATAGTTTTATGTTGTACCGTGTGTGTCAAGTCAGCCAAAGCCACATGATAATCCAAACGTCTTTTTACCTTTGAATGGATAAAATATTATAGATACTATATTATAATAAGACTTTTTTTACAATAAAATACCTCTTTGTAGGCTTGAACGAGCCGTTCACGATAAACAGCTTCCAACTGAATAGCTACATTCTCCCGTTTTGCTTGTAATCAGGGTTGGGCAGTATCTTCGATACAAGTATCTAAGATACGTATCTTAGATACATTTGTATCTTGTATCTTGTATCTCGATACAATTATGTGAAGTATCGAGTATCTTGTATCACGATACATTTTTAGTCAATGTATCGAGTATTTCATGAATTAATTTAATCGAAAGATACTCGATACATTAACGCGATACTTTGAAAAATTAATTGTTTACGATTATTTTTACTATAGTCAGAAACCACTTTTGAAAAGTGACTAATGTATTATTATTACTGAAAGTGTCAATGTTTTTATTTTATTTTTCATTCTAATTACTTAAGAGGACGTCTCACCCGGATGTGTTGTCTCAGTCTTACACACATACGACATAGCAAATTTTCGTTTGCTAGTTTCAATAGGGTATTGTCAGTTTTGATATTAGAGTGAATCAACCTACTATCAAACTTTTAGGTAACAACATTATCTGTGTTCTCTCGTTGGTTTTTTACGATATTTTAATTTTTAAGTGAGTTATGAACATTTTAGAATATGAATACTTTACATACCCATAATTCACTTAAAAATTAAAATATCGTAAAAAACCAACGAGAGAACACAGATTATGTTGTTACCTAAAAGTTTGATAATAGGTCAATTCACTCTTATATAAAAACTGACAATATCATATTGAAACTAACCAACGAAAATTTGCTATGTCGTATGTGTGTAAGACGGTGACAACACATGCGGGTGAGGCGTCCTCTTAATGAAGTGGCCATACCCACAATAATAAACATCATTTTTAAAAATCCAGTGACTAATTTTATTAAAATGTATTGAGTATCGAGTATCGAGTATCTTATATCGCGATAGTCCAAAGTCAAGTATCGAGTATCTAGTATCGCGATACTCTAGAGCCAAGTATCGAGTATCTAGTATCTCGATACTCCAAATCCAGGTATCTAGTATCTACTATCTCGATACTGATTTTTGAGTATCTTGCCCATCCCTGCTTGTAATACGTGTTTTTCAGCTTCAGTTCTATTTTTTTCTATTTTTTGGTTTTCAACGGTTTCTTTTAAACTGTCGATTTCACCTTTTCGACTAGCATTACAAGACGTTTTGTATTCCTAAATCAAATAAGATATTATATTAGTTATAGTTAGTTGTTAACTTTCATGAATTTTATAAAAATAATTACAACCAATACGTACACGAATTTTTTTGTCAAGGAAATCAGCTAAAGATGCGAATATTTCCCAAACAACGTAAAACAAACCGATTGTAGCCAATTCATAGTGGAATTTATGGACAACTACCCGTATTGCTTTACTTAATACAATAGTAAATAATATTATTATTAATAATAATAATAATTTTATTATTATCATTAATAATAGTATTAAAATACCAGCAGCACGTACATGTGGACCTAGGGAATAATTTTGTTTTTGTAATTCAATTTTGATAAAATTTAGATACAAAAAAAAATAAATAGTTTTAAACACATACTAATGTTTAGTTACCTAATGGTATAATATAATATTATATATATATATTAGCAAAATAATTAAAATTATTATGTTATTATAAATATTCTAAAAGTTTTGGAATTAGTTATTAATATTAAATTCAGATTCATGATAATCGTATATTACCTATATATTATTACGCAGTCAAAATGATGTGTAGGTATCGGTACATATACCTACATACGGCGCTATGGCACTAACTATATTATTCTACAATGTCTATCTAACACTTATATTGCCCACGACGCTTATTTGTATCATCAGGTTTGCTAGCTCAATTTTTTAATTGATTATAATTTGGTCAACTTTAAATAATAAACTTTCTGTACCTATCAGTGTCATTGAATATATTATCACAGATTATATTAAACTGTTTTGTACAATATGTGATATTATGGTATAGAATATGTGTAAATTAATAATCGTACCTAGGTTTTTTTTTTTTTTTAGTTACCTAATTTGTTTTTTCATGCAATCAAAAATGATGCACAGAAAATGTTTTAATGATTAAATACAAATTTGTAAGAGATAATAATGCAGAAATAATAATATTATTATTTAAAAATTAGAATTATATTTAAATACCTGCAGAAATTAAGTAAAAACAAATCAGAGGAAAATTGTCGACAAGTCTTATTTTATTTATTTTATTTTATTAGAATTAACGCCAGTCGGCTTTTACAAAATTTACATGGAGTGTACAAGATACAGATACAAGATATATAAACATATTTTTTTTTTTTTTTTTTACATATGAATAAATTAAATAAAGTTCTAGATAGATAACATAATGATAATAAGAAATAAATAACATGGTAATAGAAGTAATAAGCTAACGAAAATGTGAGCCTCCGTACTACGGGTATTACAGTAAGTTCGCTAAGCGCATTAATCTTGGTAATGGGGCATTTCTCGCAAAGTTAGACGTATTGTTAGGGGGATAGAAAGAACACTGTAACCTAGTATTATTGGGTATTCGAAAATCAAGTTGTTCGAGAAGCCTAGGGGCATCGACTCTACCCTCAATTAAACCTCGAATAAAATTATTACCAAGGTTATCACGCCTAGTTTGGAGATAGTTGAGCTTAAGGGCTTGTATAATAGGCCTGTAATCGTGTTTTGGGTGAGGGATATTGAGACAGAAGTTTAAAAGTCTTTATTATATTTCAGTTACACAAATAATAATTAAGTTTTAAGTACATAATATGACTTTGATTTGATTTTCATGATATTTTAGATTTTGATTGAATCAATTCATATATATTGATTTTACAGTGAAGTGTTTATTTTATTTAGTAATCACTAGTCACATTTTGAGTAGTACAAATGATTCAATATTCAACTTCAATATATTATCTGGTTTGTTAGCATATCTGGTTATCTAGTACTATTTTTTTAAGGGCGTGGGGTTCGACGTCAAAAAAAAATCTTACTACTTTTCTTAACAATTGGGAAAACCCAAAAATAAAATACTGAACACATACTGTAAATCAGTGATTATCTACTTGTAAATTTTTTTTTTCATAATATTATAGGCTACGATTTTTAATAATTGTAATTATTTTACAACTATTATATTTTGTCTACCATAATATCAAGATAAAATAGGACAGTTTCTTCACAAAAAAATTGTTTTCTCATATTATTTGTTAATAGAGGACGTCACACCCATTACCCGCATTGTGTTATCTTTGACCTTTGTATTAGGTAGGTACCTACTTAGTTAATTTGTGTTCAGCAGATCCAAATATCCAATTTATATATTTTTAGCATTTAAGTTAGTGTGGATTGTTAATTGATCTAATAAGTACCTGATCACTAACTTAAAAATCATATTTTATTATTATCAGTGTTCGTACGTTCAGTGGTGTATTTACGGGGGGGGGGTCCCAGGTCTGGACCCCCCCCCCCCAGAAAAAAATATAATATAATATAATTATTACATCGTAACTCGTATGTGTTTTTTTTATATTATAAACTTGTAGGTACCTAATATTTAGACCCCCCCACAAAAAATTTCAAAATACGCCACTACGTACGTTGGATTTTTAAAATAGTTTAACTTAAAATAAGTTATGAGTATGCAAAAATACTGTAGGGAAAAATGTACAACATCTAGGTAATGGGGTAAAGTTCTGTATCATTACCTGTGACTCCAGTCTCTTCGTAAAATATTTCACACCACTTTTCGGGCACGAACAATTTTAACCTCACCGTTCTAGGATAATTAATTAGATCACGTTCAGGACCGTCGAACGGATTCGGCTGGGGTTGGCCATTAGGTTTTGGGAACCCCGGCACAATAATTGATTCATTATTGACAGCAACTGCCGGTTTGGTTTCAGGGGTTTGAGTGGTGGCCACAGCACTAGTAAATAGTTTTGCTACTCGGAACAGTTCTGTAAAAACCACATTTCAAAAAAAATAATATTTGAATATATATGTATATATATATATGACTCAAATTTTGACAAAATGTATCCAATTAAAAATGATTTTGTAGTTAAAAATTTATAAAAACTATCATATCTAAGGATTAACAATTTAAAAGAAGCTTCCATTCGTAAGTAGTTAATTCTGTAATCAAAAAATATAAAAAGTATGTGTGTTACCAGTACGCGCGCGGGAAGTTAAACTTCTTTTGAATGGTACATGTGAGTGAGTGAAAAAGAAAGAAAAAAATATTAATTAATTTAAAAAATGAGGAGAAGTATCCGGAATTATTTATTATTGATAGTTTTATTATTTTTTTTATATTTTTATTCGACAGATATATATATTTATATTTATATATATATATATATTTATATATTTATATATATATATTTCGATATATAATAATTTTATATATTATATGATATCCTATCATAAAAACTATTATTTATCTGTAACCAATAATGACAACCTTATAATACAAACAAAAATATATTTTGTATTAAGGTTTCGTGAGCAGAATCTATATTAATGTGTGAGTCACCTGTATGGGTCGAAAAACAAAGCTACAAATCCCCCACCCCAAGTCTCAAAGAATCTATTGGTATAAATTTTATTCAAAACGTTAAAGTAGTTTTTGAGTTTATACTTTATAGAGAACAAATAAAGAAAGAAACATTCATTCTTGTTGTATATATAGACATGTTTACCTGTGCGTGATTTATTATCTACTCCTGGACCGTGATTTTCGATTGCTGCACCCATACCTCCTTTGACTTTCAAAAAATCCGCCACTTTAAACATGACATCCTTCGATGTAGTCATGCTTTTCATTTTTCCAGACATAATATAACCATACGAAGAAAAGTAGCTATAAATATAGCAATAATATCTATTAATAATCTACAGGTATAGGTAATTATAATATTGTGCGTTTTTTCATATTAAAACAAGATTAATTAACTTTACTTAACTATAATATGATGTTCTCTAATATTTCAGGAGTTAAATTTCAAAATCAAAACAATAAATCACCTATTATATGGCTCTATAATATGACTTGATTAAATTCATATTGTTAAAATTTTTAATTTATCTATTCAGCACATTGTAAATATTGAGTGCTATATTTTTAGTATTTTGTCATGTTTGTTTGATGAGTTCGTTTTCTTCAGTATGCAGAAATATATATTATTTTGATCGCAGAAAGACAATTAAAAAAAAAAAAATTGCCTGGTAGAGTACCTACCTTTGCTTAATCCCTTTAACTAGTCATCTAGCCCATGGACAGTGGCGTCATTTAAGGGAGACAAGGTGATAAATTTCCACTGTATTATTGTAAAACCAGCTACTTTTTGGGTTGGTTGTTGATGAGAAAACATAACTAAGTATAATTTTTCTAATTTAAAGGAAATATAATGTTGTATACATAAGCATTAGAAAAATATTTTCACGATAATTATAATTAATATGTTTTTAGTTCAAATATATTAAATTCTCCATATTTTGAAAAAAAGTGCTTGTAGGGCCCCCACAAATTACTTAATCCAAGCCTGTATCTAGTATGTGGTCCATAGAGATATTATAATTATGTGATAGAAAAGATATAAGAGTAATATTATTTGTAATTAAAAAATAATATTTACACGTACTTATCTTTCGTGGTTCTCAAGTTTGCCTCCAACATTTTGTCCGGCAAAATGATCTTTTCAAATATTTTCATCGTTGGTACTTTTCTAATTGAGCTGAACACAGCTTGAGATTTGGATAACATAGAATTCCAGAACGTCATATTCAATCGATTTAAAAACGTAAAGATTTCACTCTTTTTATAAAAAAACAAAATATATTGATTTATAGCGGACTACAGATAACAATATACAATAATGATGTAGGTAATCAAATCAACTTAGATCAATAAATCGTAAAAATAATAAATATCCATGGTTACGAAAAATATTACAATTTATAAAATGTTTTGATAATATTTTTAACCCTTTCATTACCCATTTAATTGTACTCGACCAATATTTTTTTTTTTACTTTATTTTTATTTATGGTCATAAATTTAATTTACAAAAACCTTATCATTTATAGATAAATTATAGGCGGTTATCTTAATCTATAACATGTAAATAGCGCAGTCAAGAAATGATTTTTAGACTTAGTGGGTATCTTGATAAACTTTCTACAAATAGATAGTGAGTGCTTTGGGAATTCAATGGGATCTTGATAAACATTCTACAAATAAATGTAAAAATTATCTGGGAATTCAATAAATGAAGTTTTATATATAATATAATTCATAATAATATATTTAAAATTTGGCGGTAAAATTATTCAATCTATGATAACAGCTGATTTGGTAAAAATTTATTGATAAGTGATAACGCAGCCAAAAATTTTGCTGTAATGAGACACTCGTGAACATTAGAGTAAGGACACCGATCACGGCCGGCTGGACAGAAAAAAAATGGTCCCGAATTTGTAGCTTCCGCTAGAGCGCGCTACGGAGTAGTAGTCATACTCGTTTTATACAACTGCCATAGGACATTTCGTGGTTTTTTATTAAAATAACTAGTAAGAAGCATTCTTAAAGCATTTCTTAAATTATAGTATTCTTGTATATGGTAAAAGTTTTTTAATTTGTCTCCTTAAGACTTAAACATGTCACGAAATTGTTTTGTCCCGTTGTGTAAAGAAGGATACCCCTCTACCAGGTCTACTAACAAGGTATTGGGAATTCGAAACAAAACATTGTTTAAAGCACCTAAGGTAAACTATGTTTAAATATATTATCATACTACTTTAATATAGTATTAGAATTTAGGATAACCATAATTTTAATCTAAATTGTGACGTGATACACTTATGAGTTAAGAATAATGTTGTAAGTTACTAAGATGTGCCATACACAATATACATGTATACCAAGTACCTCATCATAGTCGGATATCCTATGACATATTAAGGGGGACTTTAATGTTTGGTAGCATGTTTTTTAGAAGGGCTCAAAGTTAAAATTATTTATTATGCCCCCCCCCCCCCTCAATCTCTGTCTATGTACCTCATACTTGTACTATACTACTATAATATATTATTATGCAATATTATATAACTAATTGATTGCCAACAAGCAAAAGTACCTACCTACCTATATTATAATCTTACCTATACAATAAATATTCTACTTTTTACAGGATCCTAAAGTCTTAGCACAATGGGTTAAAGCAATTCCACGATCAGATCGAGATTTGAGATCAGGGATAGACCGTGTGTGTGAAAAGCATTTTGCTGAAACCAGTCTGATAAAATATTTTGAAAATGTAATGGCAGATGGTTCAATCCAAAAAATTGAAAGGGATAGAATTTGTTTAAAAGAAAATGCAGTACCGTCATTGTTTCCAGATCTACCACATTACTTATCTTCTATAAAAAAAATACGAAAACCCCAAGTTCGACATTTGAACACAAAATCTAATAATGCTGAAACTCCTAACCTCAATAGTTCATTTAATACTACAATTATCGAATATGATATATTTTACAATATTGTGAATCAATTGAAAAGTACCATATTACCTGATGCCACATTTATTTCCATGGTAAAAGATGATTTGGTTATTGGATGGTTTGATAATGACAAAGATACAGTGTTCAAAAAAATTATCATTTATAAAGATAATCTTAACATACAAGTAGGTGTAATGTTATATTTACAATTCAATCATAGGTATTATAAAGAGAGTATTTAGCAATTACTATATTTTAGGTGTTTGTAAGCAAAGTCATAGTGAATGTTGAAGGAATAATGCAAACTGCTACAGACTTTGAAGATATTGAAAAAATTATAGCTATAGTAAATAATTTACAAGCTTGCAGTGGCACTGGTCTTGATAAAAGGTATAGGATAATAATAGTTTGTTAATTTGTGTTTGTATAATTTTTTACTTATATTTTTATAGCCCACAATCAGTTGCATGCTATGGTTATGTTGATGCAAAGAAACCAGGCACATCATTTACAGATTCTCGTTGCACTGTATGCTCTAAAGAAAGAAAAAATATGATAGATCTTCAGAGAATATATACTTTAAGACAGAGAGAAATAAAAAAAAAATTAAAGAAACAGAAAAGCATAGGTAGAGTCAAAAACATTACTCGAAAGAATAGCAGACTTAATAATAAAGTATGTAATTTTGGAGTGTTGTAAAGTATTTGAGTAAAAATATGATATATATACTGTATTTTTTTGTCATAATATGCCTTATTATGCCTTGTAGCACCCTATTTTATACTGAATCATTATACTCATAATTATTATATTAATATATATGATATTTTTATTATTTACTTTAAGCTTTTGTATGTCTGTGTACTTCAATACTAATTATTGTATTTATTGCTCTAATTGTTATAAGCATGAACATTAGAACTCTAATATATATATAAGTTAGTATCTAATGTATATATAGTTATAAGTTATTAATGTATATATAGTTATAAGTTATTAATATATATATTAAGTTATAAGTTATAATATTATTATCCACATGTTCTCTAATTATATGTTTAATTTTCCTTTTTCTTTATATTAGATTATTTAATAAATAAAAACTTAATTTAATTTATTAACCTAAAATACTTAACTAGCTATATTTTTCTAGGTGTTAAAGTTAAAAGAAAAGGTAGGTTTGTTAAAACAGAAGTGTGCTACTGCATCTGCTGCAGTAATTGAAAATGAATTAACCAGGTTGCCTGAAAGTCAGCAAGAAGCAGTACGTGCTTGTTTTGCTGCTGCTAAATTAAAAGATCCTAAAGGAAATCGTTATTCTATTAACTGGATTTATGAATGCCTTTTGGTTAAAATAAAAAGTAGAAAAGTTTATGAACATCTTCGTACAAAAAAAATATTAGCTTTACCCTGTATAGATACTTTAGGGAAATATATATCCAAAATGTCTGGTCAGTATGGTTTTCAACAAGCCATTTTTGATCTTTTAGCAAAAAAAGCAAATTGTATGGCTCCTGAAGATAAACGAGGTTAATTTTTTTAGATATTCCTTTTATCATAGTAAACAGATTTAAGTAGAAATTAATAATACATTTTATTTTTTTTAGGAATTCTATTATTAGATGAAATGAAATTAAGTGAATCAGTTTCATTTAATAAAAAAACTCTAAAGGTTAATGGTTTGGTTAACTTGGGCAATTATACTCCCGAACATCAGATAAATAGTAAAGGTGATCATGCCTTGGTTTTAATGTACCAACCATTTCGAGGAAAGTGGGTCCAGGCCTTAGCAGTTTTTTTGAGCAAAGGTTGTGCTTCAAGTACAGTGTTACATAAGATTGTTATGGAATGTGTTATTCTTTTGGAGAGATCTGGTTTCCATGTAGACGGCATTGCAACTGATGGCGCTACTTGGAATCGTAGTATGTGGACAAAGTTTGGAATTTCGTCTGAAAATGTTAGTTGTGAACATATTTATGATTCATCAAGAAGGCTATGGTTTTTGTCAGATTTTCCCCACCTCATTAAGAATTTCAGAAATTGCATAGTGAAACATAGTGAATTTTGGGTAATATAATTATAATTTGTTTTAATATTAGATCAAATATTAATACAATGATTTCTTTAAGTTGATTTATATTTTATTTTTAATAACTAGTACTTCATCTCATCTTTGCCTACCAAAGTTATATCATCATATACAATTTATACATAAATATGTTTAATAATTTCATATTTTATATATACTATATATAAAATAATATATAGTATTATATATATATAATATACTATATATTTCATTTTTTATATATACTTCTTTATTATTTATTACTCTGATTACACTTTTTATTATTTGTGTAGTATTTTTTTTTATTAAACAATTATATGTATGGTTGTAATTATATTTAATAAACATAAATATTAAGTTTTGTCTTTGTCAAAAGTCACTTAATTAAAATATAAATTAAACAAAGCATTGCTCATTCCAACATTTTGGTCTGCAAACTTTATAGGTACATTTTGTTAACACCAAAAAAATTTAATTTTTTACTTTTCTCGTTGTATTCAATAACAGACACCAGATGGAATAGTAAAGCTAAAACATTGGGATGCCATAATAACTTCTGAAAATCCTTTTGGTTATAATTTAAAATTGTGTCCTGGTTTAAGTAATGATGACGTACATCCTAAACCCTATCAAAAAATGAATGTTGGCAGAGCATACCGTGTATGTATTAAATATTTTGTAAATTTAATGTATAAATTAATTTTTGATTTATTATATTGTAACATATATAAATACTATTGTATATTTAAAGTTTTTTGGTGAAAAAACTGCTATAGCTATGGAGATTTATCGAGAAAATAATGTGGATTTAATTGATTGTGAACCATCAGTTATACTTATTCGTCGAATTAATAGTTTAATTCAGGCCATGGATTCTCGAATTCCTAGCAATAGTCTCAGGAAAGCTTCTCCTGAATATGAAGTAGGTTAAAATTTTATTTTTCTGTATTTTTTAAAAAATTAAATCATTGATCAATTTTGATTTTTTGTTAGGTAATCAAACATTTTATACATTATTTAGATGAATGGCATGATACTGCAAAAAAAAACAACTATAATTTTTTGACTGATAGCACATATTTTGGCTTAAAAGTTTCACTTAAGGCCACTCTAGAAATTTTTGACTATCTTGAGACTTGTTGTGACTATCATTTTTTAATGACAGCTAGATTAAACCAGGATAATTTAGAGGTATTTATTTTGTTTACAATATTTAAAATAAATCCTTAATGATTGGCTTTATATTAATAATTTAGAAAATTATTTCAAACATTTTTTAGAGATTCTTTTCAATGATGCGTAGTTCATGTGGATCTAATGATCACCCAGATTCGGTATTATTTGTTCAAATATTCAAACTAATTTGCACTTATTCATTGGTAAAACCACCTAAAGGATAAAATATAACAGGGGGTGAACTGTTGTCATCGTTATTTAGTATAAATGACTTGAACACGCAAGAAGATAAACGTATACAATTTCGCCAAGCTATAGACAATATAATAGATCAAGGGTCAGATTGCCCTGATGTCATGGATCTTTTTTCTTCTTATTATGATCATGATTATACTGGTTTAACTGTGACAAATGATCCCGTGTTAGCATATATTGGAGGGTATGTAGCTAGGAAAGCAACACGATTTACAAAGTGTTTAAATTGCCTCTCATCTCTGAAATCAGAAATATCTCATTCAAGAGATGTTTTCATTGATAAATTATCTCATGGACATCTAATAAAACCATCGGAAAAATTATTTAAATTAATAAGTACTATGGAGGCTGCGACGCTTTATGTTTTAAATGAAGAAGGACTTAGCAGTGAAGTACTATTTAGCATTTGTTCTAAACTTGAACAGATAGAGTCACTACAACTTATTGGATGTGATCTCCATGCAGATGGCTTAACATCTTCTATAGTTAACTTCTTTCTTATAACAAGGGTACATTTTGTTTGTTCTCGATCCAATTCTATAGACAATGCAAAGAAAGAAAAATCAAAACTTCATAGAAAGTCTGCAAAGTTAGTTTAAGGCTTAAGCACCTAATGCTAAGCCATATTTACATTATTTTATTACCTACTTACACGATTTTGTTTTTTATACGCCTATGTAATAAATAATAATATTATTATGTTTAATGTTGTTAATAAGCTCATATGCTTTTTTAATTAATTAGTTCAAATAATCAATAATATACAACATTTATATTTAAATTTTTATTATTTTTATTGAAACTGATCTGCTCTTTAAATTGTGTTGTATAATATTTGGTCATAAGTTTTATAATTTAGGATAAAATGACTAAAGACCACAAAAGTTCCTATGCTTCTAATGTTACAGTAGTATGACTGCCGTTCTGCAGCGCGCTCTAACGGATGCTACATATCTAGTCCCTCTTTTATCTGTATAGATCGGTGTCCTTACTCTAATGTTCATGATCTATACAATTTAGCGAACAATTAAAATGTAAAATAACGTCATTGTAATCAAATGTTGATGTTCAGTAATGAATATATAAATGCATGTCCATTGAGATGGACAGTGGTAGTGAAAGGGTTAAAATTAATGTAAATGTTTTTTTTTTTTTTTTGAGCTAAAGGCCGTCAACTATGACCATTAGCTGTTTTTAGGTTGTTTGTAGGGGGAGGAACAGTTGGTTGTCGTAATCTTAAATAGACTATTTATAAACTGATAAGTAAATTATAAGATTTTATCCTAATAAGATTGTAGAAGGTGGTTGTTCATGAATCATGAATTTATTTAGATACTAGTCGTTATAGTCCAATCGATATCCACTTTTTACCTTAAAAGTATTCCGAAGTTCTTGACATTTTTACAGGTTGTCTAGGGGTACTCTAAGATGTCTATCCTAAGTTTTCGACCTCGAGGACCCTGTACTAACTTAGGAGGGGGGGGGTGCAAAAACACCAAAACTTTTAGACGACTTTTTTCAGTTTTTCGCTTAAATCTCCTAAACTAATCATATTTTGTAATCTATAGGTTGTAATAAAGTTGTAGACTACTAAATTTTCTAAATTATGGTTGGTAAAAATTATTTTTAGACCAAAATTCTACCGAGATACAGTCGATGAAAGTTAGAAAAAGTTTCTCAAAATTTAAAAAAAAAACTGAAAAACGAAGGTTTTGGTTCCGTAACCATTTAATTTCGTAATTTTCATATTAATTATGTCAATCACTTATCAAAATTAACATCTCGGCACACCCATGTACCTCCCTGCCCCACCCCTTCACCAACACCAAACGTGAAGATGCAATGTTGTCCTAATATAATTATGCTTTTATTTAAATACATTTTATACTTTTATCACTTTAATTCTTGATTACTAAACTTTGTTAAAAATAAAATTAAAATTTTACCATTTTTTATTGCATATAAATCTTAGCATTAAATTATTAAACTTTACTATGGTACGTCCATATTGGATAAGCAGTACCTATATGCACATTTCTGTGAATTTGACGTCCTGCTTAATTTTATAATATAATAATTGTGAAACACGGCACTTTGGATAGGTACATTAGGTACAATGACGAAGAGCAATAATACGTCAAATACCTTACAATGTTCAATACTTGAATGTGCCATACTAAATAAATAAATTAATCGTAAATTAATTAGTATAAATAATTAATGATCATATGTAAAAATAATGTAAAATAATGATTGAACAGCCGTTTTTTCTGAAGTTCCTTCCTACATCGCGCTTGGGAATAAGTTGGGGCAAACCGCATAGGTATAACTAAACCGATGTGGATTTAGGGTAAAAACAGATTTTGTCGATTCTATATTATAATATAACTTAGTAGGTACCTATAGATGGTAGGTGTATTGCACTTAAGGCTGGGCATTAACGAGTTAATAAGTTAAAGTTAAGTTACTTTTAACTAAGTCAATTAACCAGTTACTTTTTTCCCCTTGTTTTTCAGTAACTTAACGAGTTAATTAATTTTATTTGCATTTAAAGTTAATTTTTTCCCAAACCACATGTTCAAAATTAATTATATAAAAAAACACGAAATATTAAATATATTTTAGTAAATAATAATTTATAATAATAGTAAGTTGTTATAATGCATAATATTGCATATTCACAGAAAATATTATATACCTAACTATATTATAGGGGTAACCGCGTCATTAATAAAAGAAAATTATAACAATTTACTCAGTACTTATTGGGCCAGTTAGTCACTTTTCTCAACTAGTTAAAGGTAAGTTACTTTAATATAAAAAGTAATCAAGTTAGAGTATAAGTTAGTTTCTGAAATTTACCAAATGTCTAATACTTAGTTGGTTTGATAGAAGTTAGTTTGGTAAAATAGTAACTTAACACGTAAGTTAGAGTAGAACTGTAGAAGTTAGAAGTTAGCTTTTTAGATTCTGGGTGGAACTATGAATGTATTGATTTTACAGTGATGTGTGTTTTATTATATTTTTCATTTTTTATTTTTTTTTTGTGTCTGTTATCACGGTTTGGGGCAGTAAAACTGCTTGGATTTTCTTCAACAGTATCTTGTTTGATGGGAAAGTGAATCTAGTTGGTGCATTCGGGAGGTCAAATTATAAAATTCCCAATAGTTTTCACAATCGCTTTGAAAAACAACATACAAATTAAGGAAAAACGGGAATTTTTACGCAAAATTGATTTTGGTTTTTGGTGTACTCTAAAACAAATAAACGTATATACATGCAATTTTCACTGGTTGTTTATATTTGCATTTTCTATACACGATAACATTATCAAAATATTATGATTTGTTTTGAACTGTTTAGGAACATTTTCATTTTCCATTTTTTTTTTTTTCTAGAAATATTAATAAAATTTTATTTGTTGGTTAAAAAAGCTTGAAATTTTAATAGAAGGCTCCTAGTATATAGTTTCAAAGGTAGATAAAAATATGAAAAATGCTCAGTCACAATTTTTTTTTTAAAGCATTTAAAGTTCAAAAATTGTTAAAATATGGAAAAATTAATAAAACTAGCAAATTATTTTGGGTTAAGAATTCGTAAAAATTTTTCTTTTGAAACCTGAGATATGGCAATGTTATACAAGCTTGCTATTAAGTTTGTCTACCTTTATCAAAAAAAAATGTCTATAATAAAGTCAAATTAAATTTTTATGAGCGTTTGAAATTCAAATTTTTACAACATTGGATATTCACTCGATTTCTCATGTAGCAATTTCTTCATTTTGTTGTAATTCAAAAATCAATAACTGTAGATACATGAAAATGTCACTGAATATTTATATTAGCATTTCCTATACACCATACAATTTTTAAAATATGTTGACTCCTCTTGAGCTGTTTACGGACATTTTCAGTTTCCAATTTTTTTAGTTTTTTATTCTATAAATATCAATAAAGTTTTATCTGTTGGTCCAAAAAGTGTAAAAATGTAATACAAGGCTCCTGATATATTGTTACAATATCAGTTGAAAAATATTAAAAATACATAGGCACAATTTTTTTTTATAAGCAATTAAAGATCGAATTTTGACAAAATTTATCATTAAAATTGAATAATTATTTTGTAGTTAAAAATGTATAAAATGTTCAACTTCTATTTCTAAGGATTTAAAATTTAATAGATTCCACGTAAGTAGTTAATTCTGTTACCAAAAAATCTAAAAAATATATAATCACAGTTTATTTTTATAGTCATTTTAAGTTCAACTTTGGACAAAATTACATAAAAAAAAACCTAGAATAACTATTTTAGTTATTTTGTTGTGATTGTGTAATATTATTCGTGGGTACTTGAAACTTCTAAGGTACACTATAGTAGGTTACAAGTCTGTCACTGTATAATAGATAGTATTAAATTTGAATTCAATGATATAATATTATTGTATAAGAAAAACGATTCTGAGCGGAGACGGTATGTCAGTCTAGGTATAAGACATATTATATACATATCTATGGTATTAAACAAAAAATTGACCTATAAAAGGTACCTACTTACCTATAATAAATTCCAAATTAATCATATCACAATATCCATTAGGTACTTATAACGCGTTATACACTTATACATCAACAAAAACCGTGATACTATCATACATATATAATAGTACACTTTAGAAGTTTCAAGTACCCACGAATAATATTATTCAATCACAACAAAATAACTAAAATAGTTATTCTAAGATTTTTAATATGTAATTTCGTCCAAATTTGAATTTAAAATGTCTGTAAAAAATAACTGTGTTCATATATTTTTTAGATTTTTTGGTTACAGTATGACCTATTTATGAGAACATTTGTTTTAAATTTGCAATCCTTAGCTATAAAAACTGAACATTTTATAACTTATTAATTACAATGATTGATAATTTTCGAGATTTTGATACATTTTGTCAAAATAATAATCAATATAA